CGAGATAACTTTTCTTTTAAACGAAATAATTAATTCGTTTAAACGAAATAATTAATTCGTTTAATCGAAATAATTATTTCGTTTAAACGAAATAATAAATAAATATGTTTACAATTGCGCCTTAGGGGCTCCGTATAAATTAGATGATTCTACACTTTTATGGATTTTATCTAATATTTGAAGGAACAATGTAGAATGTACCAATCATCATCTGCCGCATTATGGTCACGTTATGTATATAATACTACTCACCATAAGAACTGATATTGGAGGTATTCGTCAGCATGAATGTTCAAAATCTTATCACTTTTTAAGGAGTTTTAGTGCACAAGCCGTGTCTTTGATGCCAGTCCATCTTTAAGAAAACACTATGTACATTTCACATAAAGATTTTAATTGGATCATTTCAATTACTAAAGTAGAATATTCTGAAAACCAGGGTTATAACGAAAAAGCGAAGAACGACTGATTCCTGTAGTGGGGACTTTTAAGACGAAGTTAACTTGACGAAAAATTGAGGAAACCTGCAAAGTTGGTTGATAACCCATAAGGCAATTAAAGATTGCCTCGCCCTTGTATTACCCATAAATGTAATACCCACTATAAATGTAATACCCACCATAAATGTAACAAAAATCAACCATAAATGTAATACCCACCATAAATGTAATAGTCATCAACCATAAATGTAATTACCAAAACCCACCATAAAGGTAATACCCATCAACCATAAAGGTAATAAACAACGGTGCAGTTAAAAATAGTGTAGATAAGCAGAGGCCGCGGAGCGGGGGGGGGGGGGCCTGGCTCATAAAATTTTACTTTTTTCATTCTAATTTTTTTTCTCATCTTCATACGATAATGTATTGAATCTGAAAATCGAGTGGCCGAAATCCGACGAGTTTTGGTATGGGGGTAAGGATGGAGGTGAGGTCGGTTCGATTTTTCGGACCACGGGCCCCTCCACTTCTGGAGACGCCTCGCGGACCCTGTTAAGTCAGCATTGATTGAACTGCAAAGTCACAAAAATTGTCATGTGAGCACTGAATAGAACTATGATGTATAGATTTTCTGCCGAGGACTTTACCTTGAAATTTCATGGTTTACCGGGGATTAGCCCTTTTTAACCGCTTAAGGCACGAGTCTTCCATATATTGCCATGCTTATCTTGTGCCAATACGAAAAAAGAGCGCATTCAAATTTTAAAAAAGTTTGGGAATATTTCTGGGCTGAAATCTGACAAACCAAATCAAAAAGATAAGACAAAAAAATCAGGTTCAATCTAAATGCATTCTAAAGAGCAACGTTTCTAGTATTAATATGCCATCAAACTCAACTAAGCTAAATTATTCTGTGTATTTTGTTATGATAATGTTTTGTTATGGATTTAGCTTTGGGAGTCTAGATCATGACTCATTCCTTTCAAATGTTACTTTTCTTGTTTATGTCAAAGAATTTCGTCATTATTCAGCGAAATTGTTAACACTTCGATTATATCACGGTGTCTTCAAGGGTTAATTTTAACCTTTTCAAGAAGAGTTCTACCGATAACGGTGCCCAAAAGGCTTTTCATTCACACTACAACTGTAGAACCGTTTTAAGACTAGTTTACTGTAATGTAAATGGACACTTGGCCAATAAGAGCATATATTCATCATGGGAGATATGCGTTTCATTAATAACAACAGGATCCTTATATAATCCTATAAATCCCAAAAACTTAGTAATTTTCCATGAAAACTTAATTCACTATTGAAAAAACGCTTAATATTAAGATTAAGCGTTTTTCAATATTTACATTGTTTTAAGAATTTTCAAATTTTTCAGTTTTACAGGGATTCTGCTGTAATATTATGACACCAGGTAAGGTCACTGATGAACATCTACTCATATTGACCATTCTTGAGAACTTCCATTTTATGTTCATTCTAAGACGTAGTATCAGTTAAAGGTGCTTCTACTTTCTACCAACAATCTATTTGTACTCACGATGTTCACACAGATCAAACTTCAGCCATGTTCAACCCCTCGTGGAAAGTATAACAGAATAACATATTTTCAATTTTCAAAGGAATTACTTGTCATCAGCCATTTAATCAACGAGTAGAAATTATATGACCTAAAATGCCATTCTCACGGCTAGAGTCCGGCTAGAGTCAGGTGGCCAGTGACAACCTCAACAAAATTTAACTATTTGGTTACTGGTTGAAAGGGGGAAGCATCGATGATAGAACACTTAATGTAACATGGAAACCTCTTTCTTACTTTTTAGTCGACAGTTAAAGGCTGGGAATGGTTGAGAGAAGAAGGTTGCCTTTCTAAACCCACTTAAACGAAACTTTATGCGCATGTGTCCACGGCCGCCAAGTTTGACTGTGTTACGTTGAATGCCTTTGTAAACGTGTGTAAAAATTCATTTAAGCTGACATCTAAAGATCAAAGCCAGATTTATAGTTTGTCCATTACTAATTACACAACCTAAAAATAACACTGACCATGCTTATGTTTTAAACTTACTCTGGTGAATATCTTTGCTCAACAATAAATCCAATCTGTCTAAACTACACATTTCATTTACAATTTAACATATTTGTGACATTCAGGTCCTCTGACAAAAGGTGAAATTACATTTATATTAAATGTTTTAAATTAAATATATATTGAAAATATAATTTACAAAAGTTTGCAGACAACCGAACGGGTCCAAAGATTTCAGATTCTATTTTATCCTTAATATCATGTAATAAGCTGGAATGTTGGGAGATTTTAGCCGACGAATTGATTTAACGCAGTTTACTACTGTAGGTTCCAATTGTCTTTGCCTTTATCTCACTTCCTAGAATGAATAAGACAGCATGAACGTAGAAAATCATAATACTCTCTAAAAAATTGTTTTTTTATATTGAAGATTTTATGTCTGCAATCAATATGCCAACTATAATCAAACTAAGCTATCTGAAGTCCCAGAAAGGAATTAAGAAACCCATGCGCGCCAACCCGACAAAGCACTTGAAGCATGTCTTCCATCGACCTTTTGGTGTATAAATAATAATAGTAACAATAAATAATATTATTATCATTGCTCCATTATGTCAATCAAAGATAAAGTGATTCTGTTCGCTCAACTATTGTTGATAACGTCCTACTGGTTGAATAAAACCATACCTCTGTGCTCTGTGTTGTTTCTGTTACCCATGTTGAACACTGCCCCTTCGCCTAATCTAAATCTAGCATTCTGGGGTAATCCTGAAGAGACGCATGTTGTAAATATTGTTGTTAATATGGTTAATATTTATGATTATTTTTATAGATTGAGTTTAGACTTCTATATGTGGAAAGGTTCAAGAAAGGCCTAAAAAAGTCTTGTCGTCCAACAGAATCCCTTTCAATGGGACATGTTGTCATTCCAAACGATGGTTAGAAATCTTCTTCTCGTATCAAACCATATAATCCGCTAGCCTGACAAATATGATCCTACCCGATCCTCGGACTGGATGGGATTTCGGCACGTTTTTGAAATGTCTTTTTTACGGGAGTTGCTCCTACAAACTTTTGGGTCGCTAGTTTTTGAGAATTTCCACCATTTAATAAGTCAACTTTTGTATCTTATAGAAGCTGAAAAATCATTAAGTCCACCAATATATTACCAAATATTCTACAATATCCCTGTATCCAACATGGTATACCACAAAACAGCCCAGGGAAAGGATTTTCGCTTCGCCATATAACTCCATAGGTTAACTCTACACTCCTCGACTGTATTTTGGTACATAGTGGAGCACAGGAGCATATTATAGAATATCCGGATATGTCTCGATGGAGAATAAAGGCAAATTTCGGTATCTAGACTAAGGTTGAACTATATTGAGTGGTTCAACCTTAGTATAGTTACCGGAATTTGGTTTTTAACTTGATGAACGTCTGACCCTAAATGTGTCATCTGCATATTACGTCCGAGAAACGGACAGTGCTGATGCTTTTTGTTTTGCTTCTTAATTTAATTACAACCCACTAAATTATAATACGTTGTTTGTAAATTAGTACCAGTGTAATATATCAAAAATGAAAGTGCAACTTACTGAAGTGTGAGTTAGATTGTGTTTGAGCTGAAGCTGGTACAAAATCTGTCTGAATGCTGCCAATCGCATCAGCCTCTATTCTGTCACCTACAAAGTGTAGTAATATTTCCTTTCTTATTACGTTTCACACCAATTATTGTTATCAAACAATATTAGATTTGTCAAAGTTAATGCTGAAAATATCTAAATACTATATTTTTTGTAAAATTATAGAAAATAAATTGTGCTTAACAGATACAAATTTGTGCATCTCGTTGTATATTGGTCTCACAAGATTTGAAATTAATTAAAAAAAATGACACATTGAGTTACAAAACGTATAAGGACATAAAACTCGGCTTTGGTAAATACCTGTGCGGTAAACATTGCCTCTGTCACCGATGTCAACTTGCGCTCCACGTGCCAGATCAAAATTTGGATCATCGGCTGGTCCTGCTGAACTGTCTACAAAACAAAAAAACTGTAACAAAAGTCTCATGAATTGTTGCTCAATCCTTCGAGTATTAAAGTCGTCGGTGACATTTTAGTATCAACTAGTAAAATACATTCCAATAATTAATTATCTCAAAACGAAATACATCATATGATGATGATATGCGCTATGACCAAATACAACAATGTCTATCATACGAAAATACGCCATATCTTTTAACTTACATCTTTTTTTTTATCGTGAATCTCTACTTTGTGACGTGGGCTACTGATATTAAGAGACTATGTTCTCATCACTATCCGACACCAAATCATTTCTCATTAAATATACATATGTATAACAAAATCGACATATATTATGTATCTTACTCCAATCTTTTTGAGAAAAAAAAACTCAAGTTAAAGCCATAAAAGGTTAGATCAAAATCTGAACAAAACTTAGTCAATTAATCTAACAGTGTTAAAATATTCAAAATTAAAAAATCACCAAAGTTGAACACATTTGTGATATCATTTACAGGAAAATACCGCTAATAACATTGTTTGTAAACACTAAATATTATCCATATAGTTAATATAGTTATTTTCAACGTATTTGATAAAATGGAGAAACGGACATTATTACGAGTGGTTCATTTTCAAAGTATTTCTTACCAGGTGGTTGGCTGCTACTATATCCTGTATAATCAGGCACAACCATGGTCGACGATTTTCGTTTGCTCCAACTATCTGAAATACATTAGCATATGATAACACGAGACTCTTCATTTCATACTGAAACTCAGATTTAACTGAATTCTTTATAAACACTATTTCATTCTTAATATGATTGTGGGCAAGACATTCTTATATACACCCTGCCCTCTCTTACCTAAATTGTACACCGAAATAAATCTCTGCAAGTAACAAATTTTATATATAACAAAACACAAGACAATATAATGGAATGTAACACACTTCTTTCAGGTTGGGCACATAACTTTTCCACACAATATACACGTGTCGTCATTAGATGTCTTGTGTTTTGTTATATGTGCTCCTCGCTTCTATATGTAGTTCAAATCTTATAACGAATTGTAAAGTTCAAGGGAAGTAATACGCAACCAAAAAGTTTTTGTTTTGTTTTGCCTCCATTTGCTTTGGCGGCTGTAGTTCCAGAACCTGCATTACTACACCGTCGCCATATTTAACGACGCATTTCCATGCTACATATCGTGGCATTCCGTCGCTAGTTGAATTAAATAAAATATTTTTTCATGAGTTACGTCTCTTAAACTTTTGTCATGTTGGTTGAGTATGTTAAGCAGCTTTGACGGGTGTGGGACCAAACAGGTTATGCTTACTCTTCTAGACACCTGATACTACTTTTCAGTATGAAATACTTACTCACTTATGAATGATATATACTTCTTCATACAAAAAGTTCATTAGCTGCTACTAATGTTTCGCCAATAGGTTGTTTGTATTTCGTGTTTCGTAAATCGGTGCGGGTCGTTAGTACTTGGATTATTTATTGCTGTGTATTTTCAAATTTAAAAGGCCAGTTTTGAAAAAGTCGTAAAATCTTCATTGATATTTCATCTATCAAGTAATAAGTATAATAATAATATAATATATATTACTTTCTGATGGCTGTATATTCTGTCTTTCCTCAACTGTCACCACAGATTTACAGTTAGTCTGATCTGGAATTAAAAATAGCTTTGCTGTTGTTCGCTTTTACCAATTTGTATACTACAATATTTGTGGGTGCGCTTTCGGTTGTTTTATTTTGATTTGTGAAATTATGTTTTATCATATATTCTCTTGAACTTGACCTCTATCTAATCGAACCGATAATATCCCCTACTATGAGAAATAGTCCATACCAGTATTAAGATCCCTGTCCATACACGAACTTTCACCAATAAGACCTGAAATTACATTATTATATATCTTACAATCCGAATCTGAATCGAAAAAAAACACACCCTCATTGACAAACGTTTAAAGGGACAGTTGTGCAATTTGTTGACCAATCGTACCTTAGAAACGGGATTATTTTTGTAGCTAAGCCAATCAGCAATAGTGTTCAGCTCACTATTATCCGCGCTTGAATGTTAAAATGACGACTCGTCATTTTAAGATTCTCATACTTTGTGAGATATAGAAAAGATATATATATAGAAATAGTGAGTAAAATTCCTAGTTTGAATCTTGATATTTTTAAAGGAGTTTCTGGTACCTCTGAAGACTATTTACATATGTTGTGTACCTACTTCTGGTTCAACTCAGTGTTAACCGGAAAAAGATAAAACGTCTACTACGCATGCCCTAACCACGGTCATATGATGACGCTACTTAAATCCACTTCCAACAAGGCGCGTGTTATTTTTTTGCAAAATCCTTCTGCTTCGAAATGTTTGTCGACAACCGCCATGCAGTTAACCTGAGACTTCCTGGATCTTGATGAAATATCTTCGGCTTGCCTTGCTTCCAGGAGAGTTTGTGACACTGGCAACATCAACGACGGCTGTATCATCATTCCCATCGTTCTTGGCAACCAAATCTGTCTTGGCCAATATGGAGCAATCAGAATTACTTTGCACTGATAGTGATACAGCTCCATGTGATACAGAAACAACGTTATCAGGCTGAAAGGGAGGGGAAGCATATGCAAACATATTGTCCAATGGGATGGACAGTGCTACCTGAATTGCAATATTGTTCTGGAGAAGCATCTGCCAAAAATTTCATGTCTCCCAACACAACTATACCGCCCTGTTTCTTCAGGTATTGTAATACGGTGGAATTGTCTGTTCTGATGGAGACCACCTTTCCTCCCCCATATGCTGGCCAAGTACCCTGCACTACTTGACTCTCCAAATGAGCACCCCAATCCTGGAGTGATACATCTGTTGTTAAGGTCAATGTAGGTACAAGTGGAACCGGTGACCGACCCTTTTCCATCTTCGTCCAGCACAACAAATGAGTTTTGAGACTTTTGGCCGTTGCGATATAGATACTCATACTCTGCATACTTGGATTCCAAGTTTCTGTAATAAATGAAACTGTATGGGTTTCATAAAAAGACGAGCATTGTTTAGAAGTTCCAGACATGATGCTATCATTCCCAACAAACGAAGGTAATCCCTTGCCGTATTCTGCTCCTTCAACATTTGATAAGCAGCTTTACTAAAATTCTTCCTTCTCTCTAAAATAGGCAGGATGATTCCTTGTCTGAATTTCCAGGGAGCCCCCAGGCTTTCTATTTCTTGAGAAGGGATCAGGTGAGACTTTTTTAGTTTTACTATGAAACCGAGGTGATTGAGAGTTGTCAGGACTTTTCCCCTATCCAAAATCAGCCTCGGTTTCGTCCCACTTGCTGTCAATATATCGCCCAAATAAATGGCCATGTGTACATTTGTTGCCTCAGATGACCTGCCACTACAGCTAAGAACTTTGGGACCGAGGTAGAGCTTTGAACTGATATACCACTTTCTCCACACAAAAACGGAGATCCTTCCGATGTTCTGGCCAAATAGCATCCTTTAGGTCATTAGAAATGGCCCAATCTCCCTTGCTTACCATGCCTATAACCTTAACAAGTGGTCCATCTTGAAATGTGTCTTGCGATAAACCTGTTGAGAGGCTTCAGGTTGATAACCGGACGCAGTTCCCCGTTCTTTTTGGGAAGTAGGAATAATGTACTGTAAAAACTTCCGTTTCTGGAACTCTTTCTATAGCATTTTTTCCAAAAGGGAATTTACCTCTGTTTTTATAAGACAAAGCTCTGTTTGAGAAACCAGAAAAATGTTTTTTGTACAAGTTCCAGTTTGTAGCCATCTTTTATTATTGACAAAGCCAATTTGTTCGATGTGACATGCTTCAAAGGTTCCAGAAACAGCTACAGACTTCCACAGGTATCTCCGGAAAATCGTCCCTTAAATCCTTGAAGGGGTTAGATTTTTGTCCCAAGGGACACTTCTCGGGGAAGGCGAGGACGAAACTGGTGCTCACTAACCACCGTAATCACCGTGGTTTACTGGTTCAAAAGGTTTGATTTACATACGAACCCTTTTGAAAGGTTCATGTTGATGTGCACTACTCTTGCATTTCCGAATTTGAAAGTCATGCAGCAAGTCTTGCATGGTTCGCTTCTGTTCCTTGCGAACCTTCAAATTGGTCTCAAGGCCAGGACCAAAACACCTTCTGTCAAAGGCACAGTAGACAACCTTCTAACCACATCTAGTTCATATAAAGCCGAGGCCGACATAGCCACAGTACGTCTTATGATGTAGTGGAACGCACTCGACTCTACCTAGTTAATCCAGATTTTAATGGTCATGGCAAAAAATGTTCTGAACTTTTTCAATAGTTTGTTTTTTGGTCATGGCAAAAAATGTTCTGAACTTTTTCAATAGTTTGTTTTTTGCTATCAGCACATGTCGGCAAACCTTCCATTGGCGAACCAAATGCCTTCTGGATGAACAATTAAATGATGATTCACACGAGCGCTGCCAGATGACCACGATCGGTGATCTTTTCAGCCATTTTAAAAGGCTGATCAAAAAGTGAACGATCAGATTTCGAGAACGAGACTTTGTTGTCGTGCCTCTGAATCAGGCAATGTTCGATAATGTCATCTAAAGGAGGTACCATTAAACAAGACTTGGTTTCCTCCCTTGTGGGAAAAGTTTTAAGCACTCCTCTGAGAATGTTGTGACTGTGTTAGGAGTGTTGGACCTCTAACTTTGCTCCAAATTTTTTTCTTCCCTGAGATTCAGAGCATCCTTCCCAAAAATATCAGAAAGACTTTTGTCCTTGGTCTCTGTAACATTTAACTTTTCAGTAGAATGATCAATTTCGTTCTGTAAAACTGGCATACTGTTATTTCCATCTGACTTTGCATAGTTTGAAGAAAAACAATTTAGTTCACTCTGCCAAGGTTGTAGCGATTAAACATCATCATCATCACTGGAAGAAGAAATAAATGTATAAATTATAATCTTGGCCCTTTTAGCATAAGCCTTATTTAGAAAAATATTGTCATTGTTTTCTAATATTTGTTATTTGTCAATATAATTAGCCTGATGAAATCTTTGTGATTTGCCGAATTTCTGATGATTCTTGTAAGCCGCCCCAAAACGTGGTGGAATAAAAGCCCGTCGTTCAAAAGCATCTAGAAATCTATCTAATTTAGATTATAGATTGGAGAAACGATTTCGCGAACTCACCTTTACAACCTTACCTTAGAAGCGGTGTGTGCTTCGGAGTTGGGTCCGATTTCTCCCCATTTCCGGTTTCGGCCACAACACTTTCATCTCAAATCAGAATGCTTCAGAATTGTCCTTTAATCCAAGAACTTAGAAGAGAATCTGTCATCTGAATCTGAAGACATCTCTTTCAAAACCAAAAATAATCACTGAGTAAATAAAGCTAATCTAAACACGTGCGAACACACGCGCCGAGCAATAAAAACTGATTTGGGCAGCGTCATCATGTGACTACAGTGGTTAGGGTTCAACCGGAAGTAGGGCGAGTTTAAAGATATCTTAAAGTAATGAAATTCAGGTGTATATATGTCTGGTAATGTATTATGAAATGAAATAAAAAACAATTTGATTCTTCGCATTATTTTAAGTGTCTTCTGATATGTCAAGTTTGCCTGAGATTGATCCATTCATCATTTTTTCATCTTATGTTGTAAGTTTAAAATAT